TCTGAGGACCCCTGTACAACATTAGAGAGAATCCAACATTTAAGACCTTCTGGTCTGGCCCAGTACCCTTACTTTGCAAACAAGGAAAGGCAGGTCCATATAAAAATGTTTTAATCCAGTAAGGTCCAGAAACCCTGTGTTTTGGCTCCCAACACGTCCATCTTCCCAAGAAGTCACAGTATCCCTGAGAGTACCAGAATTCAGATCTTTGGCCAGTTGTTTTCCTCAGAAGACAGGCCTTAATACCTGACACTTTGAGATGTACGTCTTGTCTGCCTGGAAGCTTCCTAACTTCATTCTATGTTCTTTTCACTGCTTCAACATGGTGCTTTCAAGGTAGAGGCACTTAATTGTACTAAAGCTACTTCCTGTTTTGTCCTTGAGTTTTTATGACATCTTTAGATATTGTCTGTAGTTGGAAGCTTGGATTCCCTTCCATCATCTACTCATAAATACAAATAGGTGAGAAAAGTGAAAACAGGCGTTGTTCAATGTGGGAAATCTTATTTATGTGGCATCAACAGCCAAGGGCTGTGTATTAGCTCTATGCTAGCGCTGAACCAAAATATCCAGCTTTCGTACAACTCAGGAGAGTAAAATGAATTTTGTTTCATGAGTTTCCTGTATATATCTGTCCATTTATTCTTTCAGAGGCTGATCTAGACATAGAATACAGTGTGAATAAGAAAAAAATTCCCCTGCTGTCAGGGAGCTTCAGTTCTAAAGTAGGATTTATATGAAGCCTCTCTGAAATAATAGTCTCAGCCCGCTACATTGTAAGCTCCCTGAGGACAGAGATTGGTCTGCTCTGTTTGTGACTGTGTCTCTAGTGCCTAAGAAGCACCTGACATAATTATAATAGGTGCTCAGTGAATATTTGTTAAATGAGAAAACCACCATAAGGTATCATAGAAACTATCACCCCTCTCAAATTAAATGTTTAAAAATAATAATAATAGATAGTATTGGCCTGGGGGGGTAGCTCAGTGGTAGAGCCACTTGTATACATAAGGCCCTGAGTTTGATCCCCAGCCCTAAAAAAAAACAGTAGTGTTTAATGAGAAATATTACTTAGGTAGAGAACTAAAATATTTGCATTTATTTCTGACTTGTTATATTTTTGTAAGCTTTAAGCTTTCTATGGAAAATATTTATGTGTAACAATGTCTACTCCCAAGAGTGTATATGGTACATGAGGATATTATACCCATCTATCACTTCAAACTGTACACATATAAATATTTAAATGTCTACCATGTTTGTTTTCTAAAATAATTATACTTTTGCATACAAGCTGAAGCAATCAAGCAAGGTTGAAATGGTTTCGCAGTACTAGAATGTTGTGATAAAAAGGACATTCGGGGGCTGGGGATTTAGCTTAGTGTGCTGCCGCCTGCCTCACAACTGCATGGTCCCGAGTTCGATCCCTGGTACCAAAAAAAAGGACATTTGGGCAAGCTACGTATTAGTAGTTGTAGTCTGTGTAGGTAATGACCATGTTAACCAGTCATACTGTCATTCTGTGTAGGCTTCTACTGTTTCAAGTTTTCAAAACATTTCAGAGCCAAAGCAGTGCAGGTATAGACTTTACACGTATTTCTCTGCCAGCATCCATGGTACATTTCTATCGGAATACTGTAAGGGCCAAGCTAAGAATACAAAAATGAGAATTTGGGGTTTGAAAATAGCTTGTGGTCCCCAAATTTAAAGACCCAATCCCAAAATGGGGATCTGAAATGAACAGACACTTCTCAGATAAAGAATTAGAAATGCCAAATAAATATATGAAACAATGTTCAACATCACTGGTCATCTGAGTGATACAATTCAAAACAACAGAGATTCTATCTCACTCCAGAGAGAATGGCTGCTATCAAGAAATCAACCAATAACAAGTGTTGGCAGGGCTGTGGGGGAAAAGGAACCCTTCTCCAATGTGTCATTGGGAGTATAGACTGGTGAAACCACTGTGGGAATCAGTGTGGAGTTTCCTCAAAAAATTAAAACTAGAAAGGCTGAGGATTTAGTTCAGTGGCACCACACCTGCCTTACAAGCACAAGGTCCTGAGTTTGATCCCTGCTATCTCAAAAAAAAAAAAAAAAAAAAAAACTAAGACTAGAGGTCCCATTTGACCCAGCTGTTTCCCTTCTTGGTATCTTCTTGAAAGAATTAGAAGCATCATACCACAGTAATACATGCACACCCATGTTTGTAGTAACTAAACCTTGGAAATAGCCCAAGTGCCTGTCAGTCAATGAGTGAATAAAGAATAGGTGGGGGGGGGGTTCTGCAGTGGAGGAGTACTATGCCATAAAGAAGGATGAGCTTCAGAAGTTTATAGGTAAATAGATGCATTTTAAGACCATACTCTTAAGTGAAATAAATCAGTCACAAATGTTTAAATAGCATGTTGTATCTCTGGTGTAAGAAACCAAAAGTGGAAATAAGGACTAAAATGTATAATAAAATATTGGGAAATGGAAAGAAAATGTTCAAATGAGAGAGGGAACAAGGGAGGAGGGAGGGAGAAAGGAAGAAAGGAACAAGAAAAAAAGTGAAAATAGAAGGAAAAAATTGAAACAAAGCTTTTGTACATAGGGAAGGGAGGGGGCATAAAAGGGGGAGAATGGAATAAAATAACATTTATTTAAAAAAATAGCTTGTGGTTAGGCATAAGTACACACGAGTGCTGGAATTTTCTCAGATAGTCTATAAACAAAATATGTTTCAGGATTATCGGCAACTTAGTAAGACCCTTTCTCAAAAAAATTAAATTTAATTTAATTTAATTTAAAAAATGGGAAGTGTAGTTCAGTGTAAAGACCAGTAGCACGGGGTGGGGATAGGAGGTGGATGTGATGGGGAAAATGGTATTACAAAAAATTGTGACATCTTAATCCTATTCTAGATGGCTTTATCTGTGAGCAGCATTATATTCATTCATCTGACCTGAAGAAACTGCTACTACAGGTTCTTAGACAAACAGAAGTGCCTCAATCCCTCCAAAAGGAAAAGCCCTCCCTAAGTTATTATAAATTATATAGTTTCTCCACAGTTTACCTTGCAATCCTAAGATGCAAAAATTCTTCAACTTGCCAGCTTTCAACAAATGCTATTTGCAACACTTTTAACACTGCCTATGTATTAAACACTGAAGGATGTCTGAGAACAGACATCAAAATTGGTCGTGAGGAAATGGCAAGTGTGTTTTGGGGATGAGCCGCACTGTGGCTGGACCAATTCTGTAGGTCTTAGTTTGTGCATCATTTGAGCATGTGGTCACCAGCACGAGACGAGGGAACGGACAGACAGCAGGAAAAATGAGAAGCTCACAGCCTCAGCCTTAACGCCACGTGTCTTCTAATCCAGAATGAATCTAAGACCCAGCTGAGAGTTGGGAGAACTTCAAGGCCAATTCTGTTATGAAAGTGCTACTGCTGAAATGTTGTAGCCAGGCATGATATTCATGCCTATAATCCCAGCACTCTGGAAGCTGAGGCAGGAGGATTACCTTGAGTTCAAGGCCAGCCTGAATGACATAGTGAGGTCTTGTCTCAAAAGCAAAGAAATGTGGTTGTAAGCCACCCATGGGTTATTCATAGGATCACAGCCAGTGTGTGGTGTTGGCACAGTGTCAAAGTAAGTGGGTCATAAGCGAATCCCAGTCCAGCAGGAGCTACTGTGGGGAGAAAGGATTTTCAGTGTAGACAAAACTATTTTATTTTGAAAGAAGATATCTAAAAATATCTGACCAAAGAGAAGAATAGCCTGGTTTTTAAATTTCTGCAAGAATAGATTCATATTCCTGTTTGTGACAGGGAACCATTACACAAGCTGTCTCTGGGGAGCCTGTTCATATTCCTGTTTATACAATGTATCTCAGTACTAAGTTCATGCTCTTACTTAGTTCACTAGAAATCCCAGGTCCAAAAAAACAAAGAAGAGCAGACTATCGAGCCTGAATTCTTTTTTTATAGTATATTGGTTGCAAACATTTTGCTTCATTGGAAACAAGCTAGGTGCAATCCCTAGCACTGCAAAAAAAGACAAAAGATTGAAGTCATAATTTTAGAGTGGTTTGTGGTGGTACCAATAACTATGTCTGAAATTGGTCTATTCCAAATTTTTTAGTATGAAAAAAGAAGAATTATGCAAGCATCTTTGGAAAAATGTTTTAAAGATTATAAAGAAGAAAGAACTGTCAGAACCAGTGTTATAAACATTTCCTTTTCTCTCATGGAGGTCGTGTGCCCACATCAATTATTTGGATAGTGTCATGTTAGATTCAGGAAAAATATGGTCTCAAGACCTGACCTGTTGTACAGTGCTCTGGTTCTGTGCAGAGGTAAGAATTGAAGTAATCTGAGAAAGGACTGAATGTTAGATTGTATGGCATTATTGTTAGTATCTTAACTTGATGGTCAAGTGGCTATGTATGAGATGTCCTATGTGTACAAGGTGTGTGCTGGGGGAGAATCATGACTCCCCTTGTCAGTTCTTTCAGTGTTTCTTTTTATTTGAAAAAGAGCCTGCTGGGCGTGGTGGCACACACCTGTAATCCCAGCACTCAGGAGGCTGAGGCAGGGGGATCACTGTGAGTTCGAGACCAACCTAGGCTACATAGTGAGTTCCAGGTCAGTCTCAACTACATAGGAGACCTTGTCTCAGA